GCAGCGGTCGAGGCGGCAGCGCGGGGGAGCGGATCCGAGCCGGACGAGTTCGCGGTAGGCGATGCCGCCGGGCGCGGGCCCCTCCGCAAGGCGGGCGTCGTGATAGGCCGCCCGGTTCTGCGCCGCCCGGGGAGGCTGCGACGGAGCTCCCGGATCGGCCATGGGCTGAGACACGTCCTCGCCGAGCAGGTGCAGTGCCCAGAGGTCCCGGGGGAAGCCCTCCTCTACAGGCCCCGGGGACCCTCAACCCCTTCAGGACGCGCCCTACCCGGCCTGGTGCCCTGTTGACCTTCCCTCAGCTCTCCCATAGGCCCTGCTGACCCTGCGTCCAAACCCGGCCCAAGGAATCCCTATGACCCGCAACCGTCTCTGACACCCCGCGCATACACCCATCCTACATTCTGTGACCCCAGCCCAGTAGGCCTTTGTGCCCACTGCTTTCTCTGCCTCAGTGTTTTGAGTCCACAGCCTGCACAGTGCCTGGGAACTACCTACCTAGCATCTCTTCTTTTCTGTTCTAGTCCATTGGCAGGGTGGAGGGTTGAATGGGAGAGAGGGTTGGACCTTTCCTCCAGAGTCCATGCTGACCACAAACCCATCCTGTTTCCCTTAAGTCTGTAGTGAAAGTGACCCTTCCTTATCCCACCAGAACATGCCTGGGTGACGCCTTCCCAGAACTTCCTTGTGGCCTTCCTCACCCTCCCCAGTGACACTATGCAACCCCAGCGTGACCTGCGAGGCCTCTGGCTCCTGCTGCTGTCCTTGTTCCTGGTCCTCTTTGAGGTGTCCAGAGCTGGCCGTCCCGTGGTTAGCTGTCCTGCTGCCTGTCTGTGTGCCAGCAACATCCTCAGCTGCTCCAAGCAGCAACTTCCCAACGTTCCCCACTCCTTGCCCAGCTACACTGCACTACTGGACCTCAGCCACAACAACCTGAGCCGCCTGCGGGCTGAGTGGACCCCCACCCGCCTGACCCACCTGCATTCCCTGCTGCTGAGCCACAACCACCTGAACTTCATCTCCTCCGAGGCCTTTTCCCCGGTACCCAACCTGCGCTACCTGGACCTCTCCTCCAACCAGCTGCATACACTGGACGAATTCCTGTTCAGTGAACTGCAGGCACTGGAGGTGCTGCTGCTCTACAACAACCACATTGTGGAGGTGGACCGCTCTGCCTTCGATGACATGGCCCAGCTGCAGAAACTCTACTTGAGCCAGAACCAGATCTCCCGTTTCCCTCTGGAACTGGTCAAGGAAGGAGCCAAGCTGCCCAAACTAATGCTCCTGGATCTCTCCTCCAACAAGCTAAAGAGCTTACCCTTGCCCGACCTGCAGAGGCTGCCTGCATGGATCAAGAATGGGCTCTACCTGCATAACAACCCCCTTCAGTGCGACTGTGAGCTATACCAGCTCTTTTCACACTGGCAGTACCGGCAGCTGAGCTCCGTGATGGACTTTCAGGAGGATCTGTACTGCGTGAGCTCCAAGAAGCTGCACAATGTCTTCCACCTGAGTTTCCTCAACTGCAGTGAGTACAAGGAGCGTGCCTGGGAGGCCCACCTGGGCGAAACCTTGACCATCAAGTGTGACACAAAGCATCAGGGGATGACCAAGGTGTGGGTGACACCAAGCAATGAACGGGTGCTAGAGGAGGTGGCCAATGGGACAGTGAGAGTGTCCAAGGATGGCAGCCTTGTTTTCCAGCAGGTGCAGGTTGAGGATGGGGGTGTGTATACCTGCTATGCCACGGGGGAGGCTTTCAATGAGACACTATCTGTGGAGTTGAAAGTGTATAATTTCACCTTGCACGGACACCATGACACCCTCAACACAGCCTATACTACCCTGGTGGGCTGTATCCTCAGTGTGGTCCTGGTTCTCATATACCTGTACCTCACCCCTTGCCGCTGCTGGTGCCGGGGTGTAGAGAAGCCTTCCAGCCATCAGGGAGACAGTCTCAGCTCTTCCATGCTTAGCACCACACCCAACCACGATCCCATGGCTGGTGGGGACAAGGATGATGGTTTTGACCGGCGGGTGGCCTTCCTGGAACCTACTGGACCCGGGCAGGGTCAAAACGGCAAGCTCAAGCCAGGCAACACCCTGCCAGTGCCTGAGGCAACAGGCAAGGGCCAGCGGAGGATGTCGGATCCAGAATCGGTCAGCTCGGTCTTCTCTGATACGCCCATTGTGGTGTGATCAGAATGGGTTGGTGGGGAGATTCTGCCCCAGGAGAGGTAATGCACCCCTGAAGGATAAGAGGGGATGGAAGAGAGGGCTGGCTGCCCAAGGGAGTGGGTTCCCCCCGACCTCAAGGGAATTGGTCACAGGTACAACAGCAAGCAAGACCCCAACCAGGGTGTGACTGCCATGATTTTCAAATATGGATATATTAATCCTCAGGCAAAGGCTACACCCCTACCCAAAGCCCTGGCAATTCTGAATGTGGTGGAGAAGGAGGAGGGTGTCTGAGTCGGGTGGGAATGAGGACGGGGTGAGGGAAAAAGCAGATTCCCTAAACTTTTTCAAGATCATCCCTAGCTCCTTAAAAGAAAATTGTAATTTTTTTCTATCTCTGCCCACCCACACCTGTGATGTTGTGGGGGGTGGCCTTCCACAGGAGCCACACTGGGGAAAAGCTGTAGTATCTTCATTGGCCAGGAAGTCACACTTCACAGCTGGGGAGATTGAAAACCATAGGAAAATGAGTCAGGAAAGGTTAAGACCTCAATCAGTTACACTCCCCAAAGCTGTTGTGAAACTTCCCACTAATGCCTTCCTCTTTCCCAGTTGGCCTTGGGTGCGTGGATTTTTGCAGGTGCCCTGGCCTATTGTCTGTCAGATATGGCAGCAGAGAGATGTGGCATTTGTGCCTTGCTCTCTGACTAATGGCACAGAGGGGCACAGCATGAACTGAGGAGTCCGTGCCATAGCATTGGTGCCAGCACAAAAACTTGTAGATGGGGTGGGGGGTGTGAATTCCAGGTAAGCTAGTTTCCTGGTTTGTGAGACCCTTGATTAGCATTTGATTCCTAGCACCTGCATGGCAGACCAGGGTGGGAGCTGCTGAAGGCAGAGCTTTTACGGATGTTTGCCAGGAACATGGGATGTAGGGCCGCTTCACGCTAGAACGATGAGGATAGACCAGCTCCTGTTATGTAGCATCCGGCTGGACCTACCTGATTTTCTGCGTATGCCATCTCTTCATTCAGTCTCCTTTCAAGCTTAGGTGGGATTCTGAGTTTTTCCTAATATGCTGCTCTGCAAAGCGAGAAAAAGCTCAGGAAAGTCTGGCCCCACTGGGTTAAACTGGGCTTGGGGATAGAGGGAACCAGGTATACATCTCTATGTTGACAAGGCTGCCTTCTCTCTGAGATCTTGCCCCTGCTGCAAAGCCAAAGGATGGGATTTCCTCATCTGAGGGTTAAAATTGGGTAGTCTCTGCACCAGGGTGGCAACTTGAAGTGTGGCTTAGAGTTCTGTCCTCTCCACAAGGTTGCAGGCCATCTGTGGCAGAGATAGTCAGTGGCACTAAACTTACAGAAGGGGAAGCCAGCTACCCCCATCCCTCTCAGCCAGAGGTCTGTGCAGTTGTGGTTGTCAGGCCAGAGGAGCTTCCCAGGATGAGCCTAACATTCCATCTGGGGTTACAGAATACTTTGGGTATGGAGATGACAGCTCCCTTTAACTATACTTCAGGCTCTGGTAGGTGCTTGCTCTGAACTTTGGCAGGGGGATGAGCAGGGCAAAGGTGAAAATATTCTCTGACATTGGTCTTTTTCAGTCTTTCCCCCTCCCCCCAGGTTCTCTGTCCATTGGAAGTTCTCCAGAGCCTCTAGTTATCTGACCTGCCCGTTAGTTTCCAAGAGGTTATTCACAGAGGGTAAGGTGGTTTGCCAGGAGGGCCTGACTCCAGCTACCTATTAAGATTGGGGAAGGGGACTGGAACTCAATATCTTCCCCTTGTCTGTTCCTAGGATATGAAGACTGCTATCTCTCCTTTGTTAGTGACCTAGTTTTGTCGAAAGAGAGAGAGGGGTGCAGCATTTCCCTCAAGTACTTGCATGCTCATTGGTATGCATGCTTATAGGTATGCATGCACACAGCACCTTGACTTCCATCAGGACAGTGATACTTTAGTTCCCACTAAAGTTCACTCTCAGAATGGTCTCCAGGTATGTGCACAATTTCATGCACACAATTTTCTTGCCCTGTAGGAGAGACAGTGACCATGCCAGGCTCCCCAGATACACAATCTCTTGTACTTTAGTTTCTGAACTCCCTAAAGCCTCAGCCACATCTCCATGGCACTGAATCACTTCTCTGCAAAGGCTGGAGTTGGGAGAACCTCAGGCTGAAGACCCTGGGAGAAGGGGTAGTGAGGAGCTAGCTGGTTCTTCAAACTCCTCAGAAGCACCCCCTTAGACTAAAGACAATATGTATGAGAAATTAAGACAGAAATAGGTCAATGAAGGACCCAGAAGCAAGCTGGCAGAGGACCAAGCAGCTGTGAGTTGCTTTTCCTATGTTAACTGCCCTGGTAAGACAGGGGCAGGAGGGAAAAGTTATCTGGTTATATTCCAGAGACTTCGGAGGATTTTGGTACTGGAAATACAGGAACCAGGACTCACTCCTCAGACTTATCAGGGAACCTGGGAAAATCTCATTTTCATGCTGCAGTTTCCCCTCTAGGCACCACTGAAGTTAAGGCTCTAAAAACCTTTAACCTGAATGTCAAATGAAGCAGGCCTTCTGGGGCATTCTAGCTGATCTCCTGAAGACTAGGAGGACTGTGTTCTTCAAATGTCCTACCCAGTTTAGGGAATAAGAAAAGGCCCTGTGGCTCTAAGTCTCCCTCCTATATCCACTAATTGGGCCCCTAGTTTGAGAGATCTGGTTTGGTGGACGTGCCTGGCTGCCCCCACCAAGAGATTTAACTGACGTGCAGCCTCTTCCATGGTTTTAGTTGATAGAACCCAAAGGTAGCTGTCTACCTGGGAGTTAAGTACTCAGCTTTATGTAAGCTCACTAGAACCCTGTATAGAAAACGGCCAGGTCTGGTTATAAGAAAAGGCTTGAGAGATCACTCCCTCCCCTCATCCTATGCCACGCCTATAAACCAGACATGTCTCCCAGGAAGTAGGTGTCCCTGGAGACAGAGTATGACAGGGCTCAACAATTTGTCTATGTGATTATTTGTGGGTTTTCTTTTTTTTGCCTGTGTTTATGGGGCTCCCAGAAAGGGGCCAGGAGAGGGCACACCCCAGCTGGGGAAGCAAAGCAGGCTGATTCCAGTTTTCTGTATGTTCTTACCTTTGTACTTCTTGTTACCCTGCTGGCAAAGTAAGTAGGCCTCCCTGTGTCCAGGACACTTGCTCCCACTGTGTATACCCAGGCACACCTTGGAGCCTCTGGGCTCTGAAAACTAGACAGTAATCATTAAACCTGGCTGAGCCTCTGTTCTGGCATGGTCTGTGACTGGTTTATTTATCTTCTCAGACTGTGGGTGGGGCTCACTGTACCTCAGAAAGGTGTGTCTTGTCTAGCCTACCCACTGCCCTCAAGTTGATTCCTACTCATAGCGACCCTACAGGACAGAGCAGAACTGCCCCATAGGATTTCCAAGGAGTGCCTGGTGGATTCCAACTGCCAACCTTTTGGTTAACAGCCAAACTCTTAACCACCGTGCCACCGGGGTTTTTGTGGCCCGTCTAGGGAGAGAATATTTAAATGTTGTAAGGGCCTGGTTAGAACTCACATCTAGGCATTAAGGTAGACCAGGGGTTGGCACACATTTTCTGTAATGAGCCAGACAGTAAATACTTTAGGCTTTGTAGGCCATACAGTCTCTAAAAAATTACAACTACTCAGTCGTGCTGCTGTAACAGGACAACAAGGAGCCCTGGTGGTGTAACAGTTAAGCACTGGGCTGCTAACCGAAAGGTTAGCAGTTTGAACCAACTCAGCAGCTCTGCAGGGGAAAAGACCTGGTGATCTGCTCCTGTAAAGATTACAGCCTAGGAAACCCTATGGGACAGTTCTGCTCTGTCACATGGGGTCGTTATGAGTTGGAATTGACTGGATGGCATCTCACGACAAGCAGGAAAGCAATTATAGACAATATGATAGCAAACGATCGTGGCTGTGTCCCAATAAAACTTTATTTATTGGCATTGAAATTTGAATTTCATATAATTTTAACATTTTTAAAATTTTCAACCATTTAAAAAAAAATGTAAAAACTATTCTTAGCTCACAGACCATCCAAATACAGGCAGTGGGATGGTTGGCCCATGGGCCATAGTTTGCTGATCCCTAAGATAGATTCTCAAAAAAAAGTCACTGAGGCTTTGACAGTAGAGAGTTTAGAAATTCCACAATTCAGGGCTAAAACCTGTAGATAATGAAGGCTTTCTGGATCCCTAGAGAGGAAAGTTGGCCTCCCTGTGGAGTCCCCTTAAGAGTCTGGTTCAATGAACAATAGCTTAGCTTAACTAGTAAAAAAAAAAAAAAAAAAAAAAGGTCTGCCTTAAGCATTATGCTCTTTTAAGAACTATATGGTATCAAACTGGCAACAGCAACTGGAAAGATTAGATAGGAATGTTAAGGCGAAGTCCTAAGTGTATGTTAATGAGGGAGGAACAACTCAGAAAAGGAGGGTAAGAATGGTTGCACAACTCAAAGAATGTAATCAGTGTCCCTAAATTGTTTATGTAGAAACTGTTGAATTGGTGTATGTTTTGCTGTGTATATTCTCAACAACAACAACAAAATAAACTTTAGAAGGAAAAAAAATAGAAGTCTGGTACTATGGAAAATGCTTAGATTGGGTTAAAAAAAATTGGTGGGGAGCAGCTGATGTCCACAATATTTTTACTATTACCAGTATATTTTCATGTTAAAAATGGTCACCATTGTAGTTAGGCTGAAAGTAGATTCATCTAATGGACAGATTAATATTTATTGACTGTTTAGTGTGTCCTAGGCATTGCATGGGATGGAGAAATGTAATCCCCACATTCTTGGTATAGACACAGCCTACCAGAAATTGGGCTAGATTCTACCAAACTCTGAACATGCAAATCTTTGGCTACTCTCTTGGTAGTTTTTGGAAGGGAATTGTCATGTTAGAGTCCAAATGGGAGAGGAAATGGTATGAGGATAAAAAATTGAATCAGAATTTGATTACGTCATTTCTTACATTTATAAAATCTTGACCAAAGGTGAGCCCTCCTCTGTCTGGAAAGTTGTCTTTTTCTCTTCAGGAGGAACAACCAGAGGTGAGGGATGGAAACACCTCATTACCAGCCACATCAGGCACATCAACCTTGGCAGTCAAAGAAATGACAGATGTTGATGCTAGAGCCCCCCTGTGGTCTACATTTAAATATAGCATTTTTTTCATCTTTTCAGAGCAGTGTTTGCTATGGCTGCCAGTTTGACTGAGGGGATAAAGCTGGTTAAGACAACAGGTCTGGGGAAGACTACTTGGTAGTTCTCCCTTCTATTTTAGTCTGTGCCAATCCTGATTCCCAGGTATATCACAGTGCTTTCCGAGGATATCCAGTATCAGGTTAGGCCAATCTGTTTAGGCTCCAGTACTAACCTACTTCTGAGTGAGGGAGCAGTGGGAGGTGAGGGAAAAGCAGCACAGAGTACTGTCTCGCTACAGTGCTCCTCACCTGTGTGTGCTTTCACGCACGCGTGTGTGCCTGAGAAGCTTTGATACTCCTCTGTCCCTCATGCCAAGGAAGTCAGTGGCTGCATATCTTCAACCCCCCCCCCCCCAAACCACAAGGAGTTCCCTAGATTCTGGCCAAGATGGGCAGTTTTATCTGCCAGATCTTGCAGCACTTCCCGTAGCTCCTCTTAGGTAGTGCTTCTCTGTTGGGAGGGGTGGAGGGGCTAATACGGCAATTGCCTTTTAGAATGAAGATGAGAGTTCAGTGGATCAGCTAGCCTAGTCTCTCTTCCATCTGATCTCTCAACTCCTTCCCTTTCTGCAATTGCAGTTCTTGTGCCACTTATCTGGTTGCCCAGGAAACCAGTGAAGCTTCACTTCCCCAACCCACACTGCAGGAAAGGTCCAGGCCTCTGCAGTACGATGGATGGCTTTTCTTGCCTGGTTACAACGTGCCTATACTGGATGCTTCCTCTCCTGGGGCTTGAGAGAGGAAGGTTAAAGCAGCTGCCAAGTCAGATCCCTTCATCAGGCTTTGCACTGTCACATGGAAAATGTCAAGTGGTGAAGATACTTAAGTCTGCCTGAGGGCTTCCAGTCCACCTCAGCCTGGCTACTGCCCCAGAATCACAGAGGATGTGGAACCAGGGCCTGAGAGAACCAGCCTTCAGTGTGAACCAGGACATGGAGCCCTGCAGTGGGACTTCAGAGTGCCCTCTGGCACTGGCATACATAAGGCAGTCATTGCCCCCAAAGCTGTGTGTGTGTGTGTCTGTGTGCGTGCGTGCTCACAAGCATGTGTGTTAAAGCACACAAAGGTTAGCACTGTAGCGGGACAGTACTTTGTGCTGCTTTTCCCTCACCTCCCACTGCTTCCTCACTCAGCGGTAGGTTGGTTCTGGAGCCTAAACAGAGAGGTCTAGCCCAATCCTGGGCATCCTTAGAAAGCACTATGAAGTACCTGGGAATCTGCTTTAAACATTAAGAGTGCAGGGGAGCACTCATGCACACTCAGACAGAGTTGGATCCTGTGGTACCACAGAGGAGCTAACAGAGGTTAAAAAAAAAAAAAAATGGTAAATTCTAACCATAGCAGGTCAATTAAAAACTAGGACTCTTGTTCCCTGGCTGTGCTGGTGACTAGCCAAGCTTTCTGTGCAAGGGGCTGGGGTCGTTTTACTGGAGGTAATTTGTGTCTGCTTTAAGCCCAGCCCAATACTGGAGACTGTCTACTTCAAACCACCCTTCAGGGCAGTTCTGAGGTACTTTCAGCTTGTGTCTTCTCTTTGCCCGTGCTGGCAAGAAATGTTGAAGCTATGCCCAGAATGCCCAACTAGTGTTTCATTCCTGGATCCCAGGGCAGGAAAAAAAAAAAGAATATTCAAGCCCCTGCACTGCTGTAGTCCTGCCTCACTGTCCATTCAGGAGGATGTTGGCTAGTCTCAGACAAATGGAATGCAAAGTATCCTCCCCTAATTTAAACAAACAGTTTTCATGGTGTGTATGTGTTTTAATTCCAATAAAGTGCTTTGAGGAGGAGGGGACTGTGATGCTCCTCAAGAGCCTGGAACAGGGGAGGCGAAGCAAACCTGTGAAGCCCTGGAAGCCAGGGGCCATGTCTCTCACAGCTCTGCAACTCCAGTACTTGGCATGACAGCCTAAGATGGGCAGAGCCCAGTGTCTGGCTGCAGGGGTCAGGGTGGCAGGGCTGTGTCCATTACTGTTGCCCTTCCTTTCCTGGCTTGTTTGCCCCACTCTTCCCTCCGAAGGGCAGGATTAGGAAAGAGATTTAGACAGACTTGTGACCAGCAGCTCCAGGCACTTCAGGCAGGCTGGACCTAGGGGGCAAATGCACTGACTCCCAGATTAGCAATCAGCCCCGACTGGAAAACACCAGGTAAGCAAGTAGCTTCATTAGACATGGTCTTGGTTGCTTTTGGACAGCAGTGGACACAGGCTGACCTTGCCTCTAGAAGGAGGAAATGTGTCTGCACTCTTACAATGGCCAACAACACAACCAGAGACTCAGGTCCCCTAAGCATCATTATCCATAACTGTGTATTGCCTCCCTAAGAATCATAAAGCCCAGAGGCAGGCTCAGTGAAGGAGAGAGAAGGACAAAAACATAGTAATACCACCTGTTTACATTTGTTTAATGCTTTGTATTTTTCAGTGCCTGTTAACATTCACTTTCTCATCTAACCCTCACAACATCCCTGTGAGGTAGGTCTAGCAGTAAGTGAGTTACCCATGGCTGCGCCCATGTTAGGAGCTGAGTAACCCAGACTGCAGGTCTCCTAGCTCCCAGGCCAATACACTTTTCAATTCTTGATGCACAGGCTATTTATGCTAACTAGACACACGGCCATCAGGGACACTAAAGCAGAAGTGTCCCTGTTCCCTAAGCTTGCAGAGGGCACCAGAAATGCTGAGGTTAGGGCATCGGGACCAGGGAAGCCAAGCAGTTAAACAGGGTAGGAAGGTTAGAGGTTCAGGGTCAACAGCTGCCTCTGCCAGTCTGAGCACAGTTCTGAGCCCAGCATACACTCTGCTCCCTACATCTTGACCTTTGTCAGGTGCAAAGGCCTTATTAGTTTACTCAGAGGACTCTCAGTACCCACTGCCTGAGAAGCCTCAAGGCATGGCTGGAGGCAAGACTCCTGACTCTCTCCTCTCCCATTGTGCCTCCTCATTGGGTTACACTCTGCAGCCCAGGAAGAAAGGGGGGAGGGGGGAGGGCTGGCTGACTCAGCCTGCAAGTGCTTAGAGATCTGGAGCTGAAAGGCCCCAGCACCATTCAGCTAATGATTATTATTAACTCCAAACAGGCCTTGGCACAGTAGCCAGCTGGCTCAGGGAGGATGCCTGGCTCTCCCACAGTGAGGTTTCAAAAACAAGACCCACAGCAGCCATGCACGGGCGGGGGGG